TATATATTTAAAACAGTAAAATGTAAATTATGTGCTAAAATATATAATGTTTCGGAACTAAGCTGGAAAAATAAATATGATGGTCATTTAAATTATAAAACATGAGGTAAAGTTGTCCTATTTTAATTTAATTTGTGCGTTTTCAGTATGTTTATTTATTGGCCCATTTGTATATTTCTGCTTTTATTTTTAATTATGCCATTTTTGGTCATCCATACACTTTAAGTTAATTCAAACTAATGTAAAAAGTTTAACTTGAAAGGAGTTGAAATGGTTAAAAACCTTAAAATTAAAATGTTATTTGGGGGGGTGATATTTTCACATGTTAAAGATAAAACACCACGTAATCTGTATTTTCAAAAATGAAAAATATATATATACAACAATACAGTTTACTATATTAATGTAATGTTAAACACTTCATATTAACATTTAGTTTTACACAAATCTAACACAAGCCTATTTGCAATGAATAACTCCAAGTTTAGTAGTATTTTTCAACAATTAGAGCTAGTTTTAATGGTTGTGTTAAGGAGGGCGTAGAGGAAGACAGTTCTTTATAATCACGCCCCCAGAATTACACTAAAGCCCTCAAACAAATGAAAAGAGCAGCAAAAAGGCTCACGGTGTCAAGAGAGACAGCAGCCTGAAGGTCAGGCAGAAAGCCGACTTCCAGAAGGTGGAGAAGAAAGTTTTGGTCCTCWATGCCATAAACGCGATCCAGGAATAAAACCATAGCTGCTTTATGGTCGGGGCAAAACACTGTGGACAGGATTGGCTCAACCAACAAACCATCTGCACAAAAAAGGGAAAGGTTACATCTACTGACTTCATTATCTATAATGCAGATTCTTGTACACCTGATTRCGCAACTTGTGTTTTTGCATATAAATTAGCCTGACTGCAACATATGTGGCTGAAATGAGTGTGAATTGAAGCTTTAATGTTTATTGACAACAAAAAGCCAGTGCAGGTAATGTCCATGGACAGTGAGATGGGCTGATTTAGTCAAATTCACCTTCAGACACTGATGGGAGCTGAAAGGAGATGCTGATTACTCCATCAAGATCCTGAATAGGGATGAGCGATCTCAAAATAGCCCTGATGCGGATGGCTTCTCCTTTGCCTCCTTGAATTAACTGGAGAACAATTCCAAAAAAGATAACATCTGTTAGCCCAGTTCAAGTTTTACAGCAATAATAAATTACAGAAGAACTGGTAAATAAAACTCAGTATCTCTTTTCAAAGTGAGTTATGGCTCATCTTGTTTATTAATTTTACCATCTTAATGTTCACATGAAAATAAATTTAGAGAAAAGGTTTTTCCCAAAATGTTTTTTTTATGTATGTCACTTTTATGCCAACATACCATGTATGAGAGCTGAAASGAGTATGAGGTAAGACAATTACCAAAAATAAAGGTTATTTTGTTAGTATTCCTGATGGTGAGGAATAAATTAGATCACTTACATGCATCTCTGGAGCGCAGCGCCCCAGCAAGTCAATAAGGGCTGAGTAGAAGGTCATGATGGCGTGTCCCAGGTGAATACGGTCATCATTACTGCCCTGAATAGCATCTCTGTTACAAGAATCAATCATAAGAGCCAGATGGCTTTTAGAAGAGACAATAATTTATCATTTTAAAAATCTTAGTCAGTGATTTTAAAAGGATTTTTATTAGTCTGTGCGGTTAATAGCAATGTTCCTGTTCAGACTTTGCAGTATGTCTGTGTTTATAGCTATTACGGACAGTGTTTTGGGATTCGGGAAAGGTCCATCCATTGAAGGGTCCTCAGAGATCCTGATGGCTTCCTTCATGGCTGCTAGAAGTCCATTTCCCCCATCCCCTCTCAGTGCAGGGCCAAAACATTCAGGCCGACGAATCAACAACCTCAACACCACATAGGCATTCTCCTCCACACTCTCACCTGCAGTCAGAGAGAACAGAAAAGTCCAACAGCAATGGAAATTTTAGGTCCACCATAGACTCATTAATAGTGTTTGGTAATAAACTGCAAATAATATAGATAGATAGATAGATAGATAGATAGATAGATAGATAGATAGATAGATAGATAGATAGATAGATAGATAGATAGATAGATAGATAGA